ACAACTGATTTCTGGACATCGCATGAGTGCCTTCTCTTGCCTTATGAACAAGCACTTACGAGGGAGGATTCAACTTCTGGCCTTTATTATGACTGCTCCGCTCATATGATTTGGGTTGGGGAACGAACAAGGCAATTGGATGGTGCTCATGTTGAGTTCTTGAGAGGAATTGCCAATCCACTTGGAATCAAGGTACAGTGCACTTCTTTTACTGCACTTTATTTTGTTGGAAAAAAGGAGTGTGGTAAGATATGCTAATTATGAAGGGCTCTGCAGAGTATCTTGTAAGATGTGGAACGAATTTAATATTGGCATCTGCATGTGATAAGGAGTTGAAGGGAAAGATGGAGAATGTGAATTATAAGTCATGCCTTAGAGATGCATTTAACTGTGCCTGGACCTTCGTCTATTCTTTGACAATCCACATGCTGAGATTTAATTTTTTGCCTGTGATTAGCAGTAAAAAGTCTAGAATGTTTGAATACTGGTTAACAAAAAGAGAAAGCAAAGTTTTGGACTTATATTTTCTGAAAATTTAGGTCTTTCTCTATATGTAGTGTGAGTAGGATGGAGTTTATGATATCAATTTAACATATATATATATATATATATATATATATTGAATAAGAGGTGGTATTAAGCTAAATTTGAGAGGAAAACATCATATCAAAGTTTAAAATTAAAATAATACATAAATTTGAATTCTTGAAATCTTATCAATGATATTATTAGAAGAATGGTGTCAAGCATCTGAGATGTCCCCAAAAAGTAAACAGAGTCATATAAACTGGGATGGAGAGAACAAATACCGACCAGAGTTAAAACGTTGAATGCAATATACAATTCTAGTATCCACCTCTTCATTTTCCTATGAAAACAATTACTGTATCACCAGATTTTAAGCTCCCTTAATTTCCACGATATTAACTAGCTTGGAGTTTAGACATAGTTGGTTGACTGATTGATGGACGTACATGCTATATAAGCTACCTTTGTTTCAATATTGCAGGTGAGTCACAAAATGGATCCAAATGAACTAGTCAAGCTTATTGACATTCTTAACCCTCAAAATAGACCAGGAAGGATTACAGTAATCGCCAGGATGGGAGCTGATAACATGAGAGTAAAGCTTCCCCATCTGATCAGGGCTGTTCGCGGAGCTGGTCAAATTGTCACTTGGGTCAGTGATCCTATGCATGGAAATACCACTAAAGCCCCTTGTGGACTCAAAACGCGTTCATTTGACTCTATCCGGGTATGATGCTATTCTGCCTGCTTTATATACTTGCTTTATGTTCTCGTGGTATGTGAATGCCGTATGTTTTTAAAAAATATTTATATGCCACCCTTGGCAATATAAGTAAAGTATTTCAAAACTGTTTTAGTAACCAAGAAACTATAGGAGAAGATCGCGTGTCATTGAACATTCATGACTGCTTTGACGTTGCATGCCATTGAATCTACATTTCGAAATAGTACAAGGGAAGAAATTAGTTGATAATAAGATCTAATAAACCCTTTTCTAGTATAGGAAATTCTGTGACGTTTATGCTTTTTATACGTACCGAGTAGACTATCCTAGTGAATTTCTTTTCGCCGTAGCTTATAATGTGATTGCGTGTATCTGTGTAGGCCGAGGTAAGAGCATTCTTTGATGTACACGATCAAGAAGGGAGCTATCCTGGTGGTGTGCATCTGGAGATGACAGGTCAGAATGTAACAGAGTGCGTTGGAGGCTCTCGAACAATTACTTACAATGATCTGAGCTCGCGCTACCATACACATTGTGACCCAAGACTCAATGCTTCTCAAGCACTTGAACTTGCTTTTATTATCGCCGAGCGCCTCAGGAAAAGAAGACTGGGACCTAAGTTCGGGTTCTAGAAACCATCTTACTCCCCTTCCCCCACTATTCGCAGTTAGCCTCTGTGTGAAGAGGTATAAGTATAGTATGGCAAGATCCAATCTTATTGTAATATGAAACTTAAAACATGGAAAGGCTATTCCTCCAGTGTATATGTTAAGATGGATGCTTAAAGTTTGTGTATATATGTAAATAATAACATCTTGGCAAATAAAGTGAACTGACTCTGTTTGGTTTGATATATAATATCCAGTGGCAGAACAAGTTATTTTCACTTACGAGATTCAAAATATAAAGAATACATACAAAAAAATAATTTTGACTTTGTATATTCATTGTAAATTTTTTCAAAGAAAGGGGTTCATTTGAATCCGTTTCGGCACCCTAGCTCCACCCTGCCCTGGCTAATTCAATTTTGTAGTGGGAAGTTTCATTTTGAAGGTGAAGCGATACCTATGAAAGACTTCTGGGCTTAAACTCTAAAAAAACCAATACTTTGTGTTGTTACATATATTATCATCCATAGTGTAACTCTTTCTGGATTGTAGAGGCTCAGAGGGATATCAATAGCAACGTAAAATCTTAGTAACTCAGTTGGTTGACTAATTGGTGAAATTAACTTCGTCACAGTGTAATCCTCTCCCCTATTTTCACCTATTCTACACCAATTTAGTTTTCTTAAAAATAGAAAAATAGCAACTGTGGAATGTACTCTGATCCTTCACACAACCCCTAGTCGTTTTAATTCTTTCGAAACATTTTTTATTTTTAAAAGAAGTGGGTAGACCATTTTTCTAATTTTATTTATTTAGGAGAATTAAAAGGTAAAGACTTTTACTTTTGAGGTGTCTAACCTTATCTATCCCAAATATTAAAAAAATAATATAATATTCTCTCAAGGATCGAGGTCTTCTTTGGCTAAGAATGAATTCTGGAAGAGATGGAGACCCCTCTAATAATTGTCATTTTTTATTTTTTTATTGTAATTCAGAATTCCTACTGATTAGATTAAATTTAAATTTGCATCAAATTTTTTTTTATCGAGAGTATAATTATTTTGATTTTAATTTATTTTTACTTTTTTTAATGAAATTATATATATATATATTGTAATTTAGCTTCGCAATCTTATCCTTTATCACCAAATGGGACACGTGATGACTGTAGTCTATACTGGCACGTGACCTGTGCTACTTTAGATTTGCAGCCTAGCCACCAGATCCTGAATGTCTTGCCAAATACGCATACAATTTCTTAAAAAAATTTTATTTAGAGACGTAAATTATGTCATATTTAACTAAAATATTTAAACAAGTAAAAAAAATGTGATTTTGTTAAATCTTTTTTATGAAAAATTTAAAAAGGTTTTAAAATATTTTGTGAAATATTTATGTACATAAATAAGTTAATTATATAAACTAAATCACATTTTTTAATTAGACAAATCAACCTTAATTGAATATGACCTAAGTTTTACGGCTTATTATTAAATAAAGGGTAATAATTTAAATGATGAACTTCTTTACGTTAAGAGCATTTGAAAATAGGCCCTAATAAATTTAAGAAGTATTTGTTATTGCGCCACTTATAAAAACACGACACGTGATAATCATAATTTAAATGATATAAATTTGTTTTACAATTTTAATAACTATTAAGGATAATATTATCAGTTGATTTACTGTAAAATGTTTGATTTGTATTTACCTAATATTTCAAAAGCACTAATACTATTTTGTATTTATTCGCATTCAAATAGAGAAATGGTCCATATAATGATTGTGAAAATAGTTGGGGAAATTACTAAACTACAAAAAAAGGGCTATCACACAACTTGCCAAATTTGACTGAAAAGCCCTTTGAAAAGGAACAACAAAAAAGATTGTTTTGGATTATAACAGCAATTGTTAAAAGCACGATCATGCATCACCTAATAATAATAATATATTCAAATTAAATTAAACCCATAGTTCAATTTAATTTAAAGTTGCAAAGTCATAATTGTTACAGTAAACATTGAAATTTCTTGAGACTCTAATATGTGTTCAATTTAAATTGAAATTCCATAACGTGTATTTAATTTCAATTAATATTTTTTTAGGCTATTTAACCCTAAACTAGTCCTATGCTTATGTAAAGGGTATTATAATCCCGCTAAGAGGCCTCTTGAATATTCCGCAATCCGGACATCTTGAATATTTCTCAATTTATTAAATATTCCTAAATAGATCAAATTCAAATCATCCTAGTTCAGAAAATACTTTATTAGGCTCTCGAGTGAGAAATACGTCATAAACGGTCCTTGAGTTATGATGATAAAATCTTACGGAGAAATCTAAAGAGAGAAAAATCAAGGGAGAAACAGATTTATACTCATAATCTTGATCAAAATTTAATTTCTTTGGAAACAGTTGCTCTAATTAATCTCTTCAACCTCGGGTTATCCGAAAATGTTGAGATATAGAGAGAACCATAAAAGGCTAAAACACACTATGCTTTGCCCCTCTTCAAGAGTAATTAATTTTTAGGTGTTTTGTTTAATAACCCATAATAATCCGTCAACTCAGACAATGCAACAAACTAAAAAAATTTAGTTACAAATTACTCCATTATTATTATTACTCCCTCCATCTTTTCTCCATTTCAAAAAAAGCAAAGTACTGAACTTTTTTTATAATTCAAACTAAATTAATTGTTTAAAATTTAGGAAAGTTATCAAGAAAAAAAATCAGTTTTTCCCCCTTACATACCTACATTTTTTATATGACAATTTCAAAAGATTCAATTGTTCATATTTTACTTTGATTTATTTATATTTTCAAATAAATTATGATTTTAATTAAATATATTTACTTTTTCAAAAAAAAATTGAAAACACAATTAAGAACAAAAGTGAAAAGTGACGCTCAATATATGTTTCAATTTTTTTTCTTAATTAATATACATTGCCATAAAAATTCAGTTATTTTGAAAGGAAAATGAACTACTCCTTAAATCAGCAATTTTCATTTTACTCAAAACTTACTCCTCAACCAAACCCTCTATTTTGTATTACCAAACATAGAAAAAGAAGGAAGATGCTTATTTTAAAAATTCATATTTTATATAAACACTAATATTATTATGGATCATATTATTTAATTATAGTCCTATAGGCATTGCATTTTACACATTTTTTAGAAAACATAAAAGCAAAGGAATATACAGTCATACAAAACGACAACCACCCACCCACCCCCACACTTGCAATTCCTCAGTCCACCAAATCCTGAAGGAACAATGAACATACGTAGACTCGTCCACACCCAATCCCACCACCCTCTTCTTTTCTTCTCCTTATCTCCCTCTTGATTGTTTCTTTCTCAAACGAGTGCCGAGCATGCAGATTTAGTTGGGTCCCACATAGCAGGGAGCAAGAACCTACGCCCATTAACCCCATGCGCATTATAGCTAGCACCCGTACTCTTATCAACTAGAGTTTGACCCGGATAACCAGGGTAAGAACCCGACCCAAACATACCGGTACAAGCCGAAACAGCCTCCAACGGCGCCGTCGCTGGCCCCTGGAAGTATCCATTGTTAAACGGATTCGTCACGGTTCCCGCCAAAACCGTTGCCACGTTGATAATCATCCCGTCAACGCCAACGTCACCGTTCGGCGCCAATAAAGGCGGCGTTTGTGGGCCGTAGATAGGCTGATGAAACGGCCAAGCACACTGACCGGCGCACTGAGTCTCCGAGTTACCAACCCAAGCGTAAGTGAAACGGACTTTACCCCGACTTGAGCCATGGGACCCACATCTGCTACAAAATCCTTCCACGAATACATCCTTCGCCGTCAACACTAAGTTCACCGACCTACCCATATAACCACCCTTGGAAGCCAAATACACAATATGTGAATTTTTCAGAGATTTTCCTAAAGAACAATTTTCATCGAGAATTTGTTTTCCTAGAGTAACAGTGGAGGCACCAGTTTTGTATTTCTCAGTTGTTTTCCACCAGGAAGCAGCTGAAGGATTTGGGGCTTTTGGGGAGTTTAACGATTGAAGGAAATCAACGATTATAGACCGTTGGCTAGGGGTAAATTTACCGTACCATATGAGATTAACGGTCACGGTTCCTTTAAGAAGAGCACCGTTGTGGTATTTGAGAACAAGAGGTTGTTCCTGAACAAGAGCAGCCATGGAAGCTCCGAAGAGAGAAGAGGAACACAATAAGAACAATAGGATCGAAGAAACAGTGGCAGAAATGTAATTTGAAGCCATATTGTGAGTATTTAAAAGTCTTTAATCAAGTGTATTGAGCAAGAGAGAAAGAAGAAGAAGAACTTGGTAAAATAGAGAGAAAGTAGTGATATTTATAGTAAGGCTAAAGAGTTAGGAAGAATTGGAGACAGCTGTAGCAAAGGAGATGTCAACATCAGGTATTGCCACGTGGAGAAATGTAATAGGGGGCTGGTGGAAACTAAGAGTAGCAGTACATTTGCCAGGCTGGAAGATTGATAGGGTGACGTGGTGGTCTACTCAGAAGACCTTAATGAAGGAGAGTTTAAGCACACCCAGAAAAAGGCATGGTCTGGAGCATGACGTGGAGTTATGGCACTGCATGCAGCGATATTGACGTGTCTGCTATTCTCTTCGTTTCTAATCTCCCGATTTTAAACATAACGTAGATAGTTGAAAGTAAAATATTTAATTATATTCACAAGTTTTCTTTTTGAAATGTATATAACTTTATTTAACAAGAATTGACCAATTATCCTAAGAGTCAATTCCCTAAATGGTCACCCAAGTTTAGGGAATTTCCTTGAAATATCATTTATGTTTCATTTAGGACCAAAATATCACTCAACTATCACTATTTTTCTCCAAATATACTTGACACTTTAAAAGCTTCACTCTCTCCTAGTTGGCATGACATGCCATTAAAGATTTTTTTTAATAATAGACTATTTAATTCATTAAACCATTTAACTAAAATAATGATCATATTATTGTTTTAAAAATATATTAGTTTATTAAGAATAAATTTTCATACTTAAGAATCGTTTATCATAATTAAGCTTTTTATTTTTTTATGTTATGAAGATAGGTTTTTAAAACGTACTATAATATCATCAATTTTGAGTACTTATAAACACATATATTCAAAAAAATATTGATATACAAATCACTCATGAATGCTAACTTACATCAATTAATCATAAATTGTATAATGAATTAATAATATTAAAGGTCAATTAACTATTACAATAATATTAATTGTGTGTTTTGAAATTCATACTTACAATATATTTTTTCCGAAAAAATAAAAATTGAATAATATTATATTTTTATCCAAAAAAATGGAATACTAAATACCTTAAAAGCTCCTTCTATTCTAGTTGATATGTCATGTCATTAAATCATCCTTTAAAAAATAATAGACCTATTTAATTCATATGTCTCTACAAAACAAATACATAAATTACATAAGAATTTATGAAGATTATAAAAAAAAAATCTAATTCCTTTATATATTTTTACCAAACAAAATTCAATGAAAAAACCTCTATGCGCAATTATTTGAAAATTTTAAGCAATTTTTTCATAAAAGTATTCAAATAAATTTGTAAGGTTGACCAAAAAAAAATTGGTAAGAAAGAGAAAATTATTATTTTAATATATGATTAATTGATGTAAGTTGACATTCATAAGTGATTTATATATCAATATTTTTTGAATATATGTGTTTATAATTATTCAAAATTGATGACATTATGGTAAGTTTCAAAAAACTATTCTTCATAGCATAAAAAAATAAAAATTTAATTATGATAAAAACTTCTTAAGTATGAAAATTTCTTCTTAATAAACTAATATATATTTTTTAGAAAATAATAAGATCATTATATTAGTTAAATGGTTTAATGAATTAAATTAGCCTATTACTAAAAAAAGACTTTAATGACATGTCATGCCAACTAGGAGAGAGTGGGGCTTTTGAAGTGTCAAATATATTTGGAGGAAAATAGTGAGAGTTGAGTGATATTTTGGTCATAAATGAAACATAAATGATATTTCAAGGAAATTTCCAAAACTTGGGTGACCATTTAGGAAATTGACTCATTATCCTAATTAAATATGCTTTATTAAGTGGAATTATATTAATAATATAGATATTCTCTATACTATTAGTGCATTTAACCCAAATACTAATGGTAAAAAATAGGGAGATTGAAAGCGATGGCACAATAGAAATTTGAAATTGTTCTATATTTAAATTTTGCGAGTGGCTAAAAAAAGAAATGTTACTTCTCCAAATTAGACTAACTTCATCAATTATCATAGTTTGACGGTATTTGCTTACATGGACATTTGGGTTTTATATCTATTCCGTCCATTTCTTTTTTTTCTTTTTTTTTTCATTTTCGTTGGTCGATGTCTGCACTGAAGTTCGTTACAAAGTTTAATTTGAAGGTAACGCCTCCGATAAAATTTTCTCCATAGCTAAGATTTGAACCTGAAATCTCTTATTAGAGGTGAAGTAATTCCACCACTACATCACCATTCATATTGACTATTTAATTTTTACTTAATCCATGTTAATTTTACGTTCTCTGTGAAGAAAATATTTCTTATACTAATAAATTTATGTTTATATTATTGAAAAGAAAAATCTTACTTGATGTTTTATACAATGATTATACATTTGAAGTAAAGGCAGGGTGGGGGACAATGGGGCAGTGAAAGTAATGTGCAAAAGTTGAAAAATGGGAAAATTATACAACAGTTTGCGGAAGGTGGCAACATTTCATGGACCACTTCAGTGCAGCGTATATTAGGCTTTGGGAGTTGGTAGCCTATGGACCACTTCAGTCCATACACTCATAATCACTGCTCAAATTCAGTGGTGTTATCATTATTAACAAACAATTTTATACTTCATCCGTTTCTATTTATTTATTAAATTTTAATTTTATACATTTATTAAGAAAATAATTATTAATATAATATATTTATCATTTTGCCCTATAATTTGATAGGATTCCAAATATATTTACTTTATATATTTAAAAAAAATATTAACTCAATATTAATATATTAGGGGTATAATAGAAAAAATAATATCTTTTTTGATTTGTTGAAAAAAACAAGTAAAAAAGAAATGAAAATATTAGATAAGTAAACAAGGAAGAAGGGAGTACTAATTTTATGTTTCTTATGAATGGAATTGCTTCAACTTATTTAATCATCTTCTAATTCTATACTCAATTTAATTTCGTACATGTATTCAACCAATATTTAGTTTTTAAAATATATATATATATTTGGAAACACTCTTGATTTAGTAGTGAATTGTTTGTCAAAAACAATCTCTCAATTCCACAAAAGTAGAGGTAAGGTATACATACACCTTATCCTCTTCATACTCTACTACATTGATTATGTTGTTATATTATATATTTTATTATAAATATAAGATTTGGATCAAAATTACTAAATTCAGTTGAATTCATAATCAAAGTGCTAGCTTCGCCATGCTTTTACCTTATAAAAATACAACTTCATCTATCTCAATTTATGTGACACTGTTTAACTTAATACAACATTTATAAAAAAAAAGGAAAACTTTAAAATTTTGTTTTTTTTAATAGTTTATTTCTAAATTATAGAAAAGCTATAATATTTTTCATTTTGTTTGGATAGATTAGAAAAGAAAGGATGTGACATTGGTTCAATATATATGTCATTTATTTGTTTGTTGAGAATCAAATAGTGAATAAAAATCTAAAATAGAAATCCCTAAATAAGAGAATAGAGTAGACTATAAATAGGTGGAATCTGATCCTAATGTTTATTTTGAAATATATAATCAAAAGATTAGGTGCAAATCATTTGTTTGAGCCTCTCTAATACTCCTTTTGTCCCTAAGTACTTGTCCATTTTTCATTTTATAGTTGTTCCTAATTACTTGTTCGTTTTGACAAATTGAGAAAGAACAATTTTTTTTTACCTATTATATCCTCAATTAAATTACTATTTATTTTTAAAAACGTAGAACTTTTTATCTACTTCATAATTAATACGGGTAAAATGATAATCTCACTATGTCATTAATTATTTTTCTTATTAAATGTGCCAATTTAAAAGTGAACAAGTAATTAGGGAC